CACACATACACACACACACTGTGTGTAAACTTGCTAGCACACTGCTACTAAGGTTACAGGAAAAACGTGGACTGGATTTCATGTGGTGGGGGAGTATAATGAACAAGTGGAACACACCAAAAAGGATCTCTACCTGACACTATAAATTAAAGGGAAACTGACAGATTTATGATCATATATTTTAGTTAATAATGAAATATTAAATGGTTTTTTATTCTGACCACATCATATTGAATTTTTGTAAAAAAACAACAACATTTTTTTAACACCAAAACAATTTAGGTGGGCTTTAAAATATTTTAGGGGGGTTCCAGCCCCCCTGAAATAGGCCTAGTTACGCCACTGGACTCAAATTAAGCGAAATAATCTGACATTTGAATAAGAAAATTGCATTTGGTAAAATGTCTTGAAATAAGGACCATTTTCAGGCTAATAATCTAACATTCTGCTCTTCTTAAAACAAGATCAAAATACTTTTTAGCTGGATTCAAAATGGGAAAACTTGGATAGATGGAGAATTTTTGCAGAGTAAACGTGAAGTGAATCACTTGACTGATGACAGAATTAGGATGGGTCTTTTTCTGATTGCTCATTTGAACTTCTAAACCTTGATCTGTTTGGAGGCCAGACCATTTCATGGATCATTACAAAGTGGATTACTCATCATTTACCTGCCGTGCACCATGATCAGAATCTCACATCCCTGAAGCACAGAAAAGCATTTTGACAGCGAGTACGCAGGTGCATGACAAACACTWATTGCCACATGTCATTTGTGCAGATCAAGCGGTGCAAAAAAAAAAAAAGAGGCTTTCGCACCTCCTCTGGCTGCACCGCTTCAGGTGCATGCTGTTTTTTTTTTTGTTTGTTTCAGATTTCAGATCTGAAATCTGGTTTAAAGAGCTCTTCTGCAGAATGATGCTCAGAATGATGGCTGAASCCCACAACATGACAGCATCAGGGCAGCTCACCTTTCTCTTTACCATCTTCAATTCATTTCTCTTTTTAGATTTTAACCAATCTTTGCACAGTGAGACTTTCAGTTAGCTCGCTTTTTGTTCCCCACTTACCTGGCAATCGTGCAAGATAATGGCTGCTGTCATTGTAGCTGACAGGCGGTGAAGTGTAGTTCCTGCAGTACTCTGCGCGCTGGTAGAAGGCTGCATCTCCGCTCCTCAGCTGCAGCGCCATCATCGCCGGAACATCCCTCTCTCTGCCAACTTCTCCTCTCCGAGAAACCCGGGCGGTCAGACAGGATGACAGCCCCTACCACCGCGCACACACTGCGCCTTTCACTGGAGGGGGGGTGGGGGAAAGCTCTGCAGAACCGAGCCAAATCCAAACGGGCGACAGCGCACTAGAATGCCGGGAAATGACCGGCTTTTTTACGCGTCGCGTTTAGTTTTTCCCCCAAGAAAAGTCCACGGGAATTTAGTTGTTTGCGAAACAGGATATTTCTCAGCTCTTAAATYCAGCCGAGGTTCTTGCAGGGTCCCTATGCGTCTTGGTACGGTCCATTTCCGATGCTGCTTCTTTGCATGGGTGGCAATAATGACACATTGTATAAATATGTTACACCTCTGTGGTACACTCAGATCACCAGAGCTGGAGAAGAATGACTCAGATCTGCAAGAAAATAAATCCAAATAAGACTCATACATGTAATAATAA